TCTCTTACAAGCTTGGACATTTGGCTTAGAAAAGAGGGAATTGAGGATGGCCTGCTGTAAACCCAAGTATCATAAATTTACCATACTGTTGTAGGCTTTAGTCTGTTTCTAACTCTTCTCCGAATTGTTATGTTTAGCTTGGTCTAAAAAAAATGTTCCCCTAAAATTGATGTAACATCAAGAAATTGATACTTTCCAAACTCTATTGCTGTATGTTGGAATAAAAGGTGAGTTCTTGGGCACAAGAAAGTTTTGAGCAAATGTCATCAACTCAAGACTTTCAATTTCTGGTAAATATGCTATGTTTATGTATTGACTTACGGAACAATAAAATTCTAGCCTTGTAAGTTGACCACTCTTACTTTCCCTGTGTTAATGGAAATATTTTAGTATCCCTGCACTAATAACTTGAAGAGTACTATTTTTTTTTTTTTTTTTGCTACTTTCCTTTGTAAGAGAGCACATATTCCTCAGTAAAAAAAATCCACAAAGAAGATTTCCAATTTCACTGGCTAGCATCTTCTGGGGATGTTTTCCAGATGTAAGATGCTGATCTACACTTGCTTCAAGTGGTTCTGTTAGTGTAACCTGCTGGCTACTGACTACAGCCAGTGCTGCAGTCTGTCGTATACTGCCGTGTTTTTAGTGTCTTCCATCATAGGGAAGAAACGGTGGATTGTCAACAACCTTGTGCCCAAAGATTACATGGCACAATCTAGTTCTGGCGCTTGCAGCTGAAGGAGAATGTAGTACTTAGACGGAAGAAATCTCTGGATCATAGCAACTGTAAGTAGCCTGTTCAGAGGGTTTTATCTTTTTAAGCAATTTCATATGCTTTAATCAATTTTTACATACTCTTGCAGTAGCTGAACACAGCAGTGTGCTTATCCTCAAATTCTGAAATTTACAGCGAGCTGTCTTGAAACAAAATTCTAATATTGGTGCCTGTAATAAAAAAAAACCTCTGGCAAAACTCCTTTCGTGTATATTCTGAGGATAACATTTTATAGGTTGACTGTGAACCAAGTGAGGGATCCTGGATTGTTTGAAGTGGTAAGGTGTAGAATACAATACCCTCCTGAAGGAAGGTGTTTGCATGGAAAGTGAGACCAACAGAAAGATCTAATACCTTTCAAGAGAAAGCAGGCCAAAGAGTGCCTGAGGAAGTGAGCGGTCATTTGTGCTCAGTCTTTTGAAAAGATGTGGCTTTTACTCCTCGTGGATGAGATGGCACTAACAGAGTACTGTCCTACTGGTACAATCTAGTGTGGGTCCCCAAAAAGAGCAAAACAAGATTTAAGAGTTGTTCCTTTACATTTGAAGTAATAAGTGAAGATTTAAGATTTATCTTAATTAAGACAGCTCTAATTTGGGGAGGGGTAGGAATCTGAAATGTGGTAGTTTGACAGGCACCAGAACAGGTGACAATTTCTTCAGGGAGAACATCTGAGAGCTTGTGCTGGCTTACTGTCAGGCTACTCCTGGAATGCAAACAGACAACTTGAAAAACCTTCTAGAGCTAAAAAATCTTTTAAATTTATCAATAGAACTTACAGGGTTATGTTACTGTAAGCAATTTATTTTGGTGGAGTTTTTTTCCTCAGTTGGGAGGTCTAATTGTAGGTATTGGGGTCCATTAAGTATGTCCTGCTCATAGCTTTAAGAGCAAATAAAGCTGAGGAAATTTTTTTTGTTTGTTTCATCCTAGACACTGTGAATATTGGGAAATTAGAGCCTTTATATCCTAAACTTCAGATCTGTAAAAGCTGATTAACACTGGTTAGACCCTCTAATTCTTAATGCCCTGTTTCATATCTCCTATAAACTAGGAAAGGAAAATGGTTGTTATTAGGAGGGTATAAACTCACAGAAATCCAAAACTAGCTGAGGAGTAAAGCTTAATTTTTTTTAATTTTTTTTTAGTAAGGAATGTTAGTTAATTTATTTTGCTGACTTTATTCTGCCCTCTTCTTAGGAGGCTCTTGTTCACATTTTTGATGGTTATAAAGTTGTAAGAGGTTCTTTTTTTCCTCTTCTGCTTCATTATTTGGTCAGGTTGGAAAGGGTTATAGATAATTGTGTTCCCTTATTGACTATTAGTAAAAACATTACAGAATTTTGCTGGGTGTTTTTTAAATGACTGCTTTTCATGGTAGTGAGGGAAATAGGTCACAAAAGGAAGCAAGATGGCTTTCTACTTTCGTGGCTTCCTCTTTCAAGTAAAACTCTTGTATAAGGAAAACACAGTTTTCGTGTTTTCAAGTGAAATTTAAGAAGCTTAGTATTGTTTAGTGAGAAGAAGTGTAAGCAGCTTCTTAATTGACAACAAATACAGGAGAAACACATATTTGTGTGTAAGCATAGCAGGAAAAAGGAATCATAAGTTCAATTAGCGGGAAGCAGGACTGCTACTATCATGATAAAATAAGGTAGAACCCAGGAACACAGTTAAAGGGGGAAAATAGCAAAACTTGCCACAGGTTAATGGGGGTTGTGGTTAATTTTCTTGAAGTCTTCAACATGCTATAGGACAGTAGTTACCGGGAGCAACGTTTTGGTAGAAACTATGCAGGTTGGTCTGGGTGATCAGGTTACGACCTTTTTTAAGCTTGACATATCAAAGGCTGTTTAGTAATTGCACAGTAGTGGCACTTGAGAGTCTATTTCATCAGTTAACTGAAGTCTGTCGACACTGTTCACTTGGACTATAGTTGCAACCATGAATTGCAAGGGAAGAAAGTGGGGGTGAGGTGGAAAAGGTTTTCTGGTTTTTGTTTTGTTTGTCTTCCAGACAGTAAAATTGAGAATACAGTGTGGTGGCTGCAGTGGATTCAGTCACATTGGTAGCTCATACAGAAAGGTGAATGAAGATGTGTGCCGTGTTTCCAGGCTGGTTAGTCAGGTAGTCCAAGGCAGCAAGAATTGCTTTGAGCTACGTGGTTGGTCTTTTGCCCACGTGCCCTTTCACATCGGAGTGTGTGTGTGTTGGTGGCATCTAACTGGGGCAGCAGGGCAGATGTGGGTGTTGGGTGGGAGTAGTACCTTCCTTGGCAGAGAGTGTGCAAGTACAGCAGACACAAAGAGGTCCACCAAAAAAAAAAACCAGCTGAAAGTGTAGTATGTCCAGGAGGCATGGAGATTAAAAAGCAAAGAGCTCCATCCTCCTCAGGTTCCACCTGTGGTTCAGGGAATGAGTTAAAGTTCATTGTGAATGCTGCCTAAGATACTGTGGGAGAAGTGGGAAGGCAGAAAATGTTCCTGAGCAAACTGGAAATGGAAGACTGGAAGCAATGAACTGGGGTCACCTTTGGACTCACACAGAAGAAGGAAAAGTCTGTAACAAGTAAGGCCGAAGAGTACCCCAAACTGTAAAACAGAAGCGTGTCCAGGGAGCAGTTGGAGACAGGAGATGGAATGAACACACAGATTGCTACATAGCCTGCTAACCTGTGACTTCAGAGTCTGTCAACTGGAAGCTTGAGGCATTTGTACAACAGTAGTCTTCAAGGCATTAGTTTTATGAAAGGAACAGCAAATGTGTTATATCTTAGCAGCTGAAGAAAGGCTGTTGCTTTTGGGGGGGGGGGGAGGCTGGGAAGGAAATGGAGTGCAGAGGTAAGTGTTTCTGAATCATCCAGGGGAATAAGGGAGGCATCCTTAGATTCACATTACTAATACTTTATGTTCAAAAGCCACAAGGGATGTCTCTCAATCTCGAAAAAAGTAGTTCGAGTTCTTACCGTTAAATTAAGGTATGCTCCAGAGTGTCTTTTGTACTTGCCAAAAAGAAACTAGATGAACTCTTAAAATTACCGTCTTCATGGAGTCATTATTTCTGGAGGTGGTATGCCAATATATTATAAGATTCGTTAATATTTTGTTAAAAGCTCACGCCATTCTAAGAAGAATCTGCATTTTTGTATATGAGAATTTTTTTGAACCGTATTGAAGCAGCTGCTTGTGGCATAAGGACAATAAAACAGTTGGAGCAAATGGTCTTGTTAAATTCAGAAACAAATGAAACTTTTGAGCTGTGAGAAGGCAGGGACTTCCAGGAGACAAAATTAATTTCATTCAACCTAGACTAGTTATGGTGAGCCAACATAGTTCTCTGGGAGTATGTGCTAGCCTCCATTCCCAAGGGGAAGGGTATGTGGTGTAGAAAGGGCAGGCTGTAGTTGTGTTCGCTGTATTACAGGCAGTAATGACAGCGTCTGGGATACGGTAACTAGCAAAGACTGGAATGAAGAGCAAGGCTGAGATTTCATTTCTCCTAGCACTTTGTGATAACCACTTGGGAGACTGTCCTGGAGCAGGGTTTAAAAAAGCATTCACAGAGTTTTTTCGGCAAGCGTCCTGCCGCTCTGTAGCTCGTGCCCGGCAAGCGAAGCCCCTGCACCGCTGGTGGCTGCTGTGCCTGCAGGCCCCGTGTGCGGCGTCCGGGATCTCCAAGCTTGCCGTGTTCAGACTCTGTCTCTTCACAGGTCGCGCTGCTGGATAACCTCGCTCTGTTAAGGTGGGGCTTGTAGCTGTATTCGTTTTGCTTGGGTTTAACTTTCTTCCTGCAGGCAACGTGGTGAAAATGGAATAACAGATGTGTTCCCTTTCCCCCCGGTTTCTCACGTGATTTCTGTTCCCTCTCTCATCTTTCAAGGCCTTAGATGTGATGAGGGCCAGTTTATCTGGTAGCTACTTGTAGGCTTCTCAACAGAGAGCGTGCCGAAATGAGGCAAGGCTTCAGTCCAAAAACACTTATGTTGGATGCAGTGCTAAGCGTGCTATGCGTGAGGGAAATGTTTTCTGCTTGTGGTAGCCCAGTCCTCTAGTTCAAGCTAGATGTGATTTAGGAAACATTGTGTTTTTTGACAGCTAATCTGCCAGAGCTCGCACTTGTGTGACAGGGTGATGAAAGGAGCTGTGTAACCTTCTTGTTATGGAAGCAGATCTGTTCCTGCTGCGCGTCACATCTTCCCCCAGAGTGGGGAGAAACACCAGCGGCTAAACGGGGAGCGTTATCCCTCTTGCCATTTACCAGGGCTCTAAAAGATTCGTCCTTCTTTCACTCTCAGCTGCTGCTTGAGAAAGCACTTTTTCTTTGCTTTTTCCTTCTTTCAGAAAGGTGATAGAAGAATACAAGACGCTCTCGGGCCCTTTGTACACAATAACTAGTCTGGTTGCGCAATGCTTAGTTCCAGAAAACTTACCATGAGGAAATGAAGCGGTACGATGGTAAATGCCTGGGCATCTCACTCTTCTTTTTCCTGAATAGATAAGGTGTTTTAATTCAGCTGGCAAGCCTCCAACGCAGAAAATACTGTGCAGCTGTCAGCCTCTAGGGCTTCTGGACGGATTTTGTAATTAATCTGCATATTGATCTCTTTCTTGAAAACATAGATAAGCCCTATCTGTACTGATCTGACGGGAGATGGTTTGAGGGGTAGCAGAGGGAGCTTGCCCTTCTGAGTGGGTGCAAATGCTGTTACTTGGCCACTGTGTCCTCTTCCTGGTTCTTCTGTACCTTGTGGATCTGCTGATCATTCAACACAAACAAAACAAGTTGCTAATATGAAGTCCAGAACTTGAACTAAGGTGTTTAGAGGCTAAAGCTATCTCTGTTTCTATAATGGTATGAGTTTCAACTTCTTGTCTTCCTGCCAGCTCCTGCAGAGAGACATTTGTCTGAGGAGAATGTTCCATCATTAGATTTAGCGTCAGATACTTGTGTTAGCTTGCATGAGCAGAAATCCCATGATCCAGTTCACTGGGCACCATTTCAATGCAATGAACACAGTCTGTCCCCCAAAGCATTTATGGTCACCTCGGTTGTATTTATGTGAGTAGGAAGGAGTGGAAGAAAAAACCCATACTTTATCAACAGTGGGTTTACTTTTAGCTAGAAATTTGATGAGGTAGAACTCTGGAGCTTTTATTGAGAGCCCAAGTTTTGTCTGAATCTATCTCTAAAAGAGACATAAAAGATAGGAGAGTGAGCTTTTTGCATTTCACCTCAGCTTGTATTTCATATTCCCTTGGGGCTCAAATAGAATTTGCAAACATGTCTGGAATTTTGTTGCCTTACATTGTCTTGGGCAGGGGAAGGAATCTGATAAGTTACTCGTGCTCTTGCAAGTTCTTCAGAAGTCCTGCAAGGATGTACTGCTTTAAGAAATACACTCGTTCTTCTTTGGGTTTGCAGTTTAGGTGGGGTGGGTTTTTAACTTTTTTTTGTGGCATCATTTTTTTAGAAAAGATCCTCGTCCATCACCATGTATTGTACTGCTTAGGAGGAAAAAGTGATCTTCATCTCTGGACAGACCATCACTGCAGTCAGGAATAAGGTGAATTGGTAGTGATGGTAGATGCGTACCATCCTGTGTCCAGTCTGGGTTGGTGTCCCAGGTCCAGGTGGGATGGTGCAGTGATTTTAGTCTTGCCCTCAGTAAATGAAGACCTGTAACTGCAAAGCCATTACCTTGATACAAGTAAATCATCATGCTTCTGCTATCTCACCATTGCAGTGGTGGTGAGTTAGTGTCTAGGAAGAAGTCCCATGCTTTCGTAGATACCTAGGCCACCGTCCAATTTATAAAAGTGTCTTAACTAGTGTTTTCTTGTAAGTTACATTTAATATTGGATTTTCCAGTTAAATATTTCATTCCTTTTTTATTTTTTTTCCCTGATAGTGTCAGAAGATTTTTTTTTTTTCCCTGCGCCAGGCAAATTCCTTTGTGGCCAGCTCAGTTTCCGAGAAGATGATATCATGCTATTTCTTTAAATTAAACTGGTAATTAAAAAACAGATTTCCAGTAATTCTTTTTGGTGTTAGGACCACTAGCAAGAAGTGGGAATACATAATATATTACAAGATTGCTCATTCACACAAGAAAAAAAGACCCACTAACTTTCAGTTAGAGCTTAGCTCCTGTGTACAAGTTAGTAAAAAGAAATACCTTACAGTGGTGCTAAAGACTTGTCCTGAAGCTTAATGATGATGTCTGCAAGAGCAGACCAAACAGCATCAAAACTGAGTAAAGGGATTAACAGACATGGCGTGTCTTTCTGAACCTATTCCCATCCATCATTGGCAAAGGAGAGGTTGTTGGATCTAAAAGTCATTGCTCTGAGATGCGTTGGGTATGTGTGAATGAGACACTTGTGTTGCTAGAGTGTGTCAGTTCTGTGTCATACTCATGTTCAGAGGCTGTTCTTCCTTGGTAAAATGGGCGTGGGTGAATGCTGGCTTAGTGACTGATCTTGGAGCCTTGTGCCAGCAGGTTACTTGCCTTTCTAGCAGCTGCCCATCCAGTGCCAGATCACAGGTCTGAGCAGCCATCCTCGCTGCGGGTTGCCACAGATTGATGCACTCCATTTCCTGTGTTGTAAGAGCACCTCTTCACTTCATTAAGGTGACTAAAGGTCAGTGAGATGGTTGAATGTTGAAATAAAAATCCAGTTCTTACTTAAATACTAAGTGGAAGGCTTATTTAAATGCATTTTTCTTTTTGTTTTTCAAAATGAGTTTATTTCAAAATTTGAAGTGAACTTACGGCAACCATTTCTAAACTCTTAAGTTTGCTGTAAACTGAAGATCCTTTATCAAAGAAAAAACAAGCTGCCTTACTAAATTATTTTCAAACATGGAAGAGTTAAAAAAAATTGTCCTGCTCTTTAATGGGGAGGAATTATTCCTCTTAGGGAGGAATCATCTTTGTTTTTTGAAGAGCAATTCAAGTTGTATAAAGGCACTGGGCATGTCAAGTGTTACTGTCTTATACGTATACTTATATAGATTTATACATATACTTATACATATACTACTATATAGATTTTATGAGTGCCAGTGGAAATTAGATGTGGTGCAAGTTGGATGAAAATTGAAAAACTAATTACATTAAATATTTTCATAAGGTGGGATCTAAGTTTCATCTTGTATTCTTCTGTGCAAACTGAAAATATGTACATGAGTCAGGTCTGGCCACCTTGCTTACACCAGCCGACCGTGAAGAACACTTTCTTAGGAAAAGAACCAAATTATATGCTTGTTAAGAGTTGAAGTAAATTATTAAATTATGCAACTGCTTATTTAGATTATGATCTAAAGAAGAATTACTTGAAACATTATGGAAATCCTTAGAAACATCAGCTGTAGTCAATATTTAGGATCAGATTTAAATTTAATTGCAGGATAAACATTTGCCTGTCTTTAATGTTCTTTGGCACACAAAATAATGAATTCCTGTAAAAGGTGGGGAATTTTTAGCCATATTCTGTTTACATATCATTGAGTCATGCCTGGACCTGTAAAAAGCCCCCACAGAATTTTATGGTCATAGTTAGGTGTGCCGGTTGTCCTTTTTGTATACATAGAAGTAAGGGCACAGAAGCGCTGGCTGTAGTGCTGAACAGGGAGGAAATGGAAAATTAGCAGGCATGAGAAATGAGCTGAATGTGCTCTCACGAACATGGGTTACAGGACAAGGTGGAGCGTGTTTGATAGCCAACTGCATGTGGGCCCTTTGGGAAAGAAGGCGACATGGTCAAGGGCATAAGGCAGAGGAAGAGCCCTGGCAAGGACAGAGTCAAGAAGCCACCTGCTACCACTATTCTGTGACTTACCAAGGAGCAGCAGGGATAAATATTGGAAGAAGAAAAATCGGCCCTTGTGCTAAAGGCAGGAGTTTATCCTAGCCTAGGTAATGGATAAGCAATCCCTGCATAGGATCTTCACAATGGAAGGAAGAAGGGAGGGTAGAGCTGGTGACATCAAAGGATAACTCATCCTACCACAACAGCGAGGAATTCATGAATGCCAGGGAAATGGGGAGACTGGTGGCTGTATAGGCAGGAGTTAAGTGAGCAGAGCCTTGCAAAAATCACAAATTAAAACCTTGCTCACGTAATTCTCTAGTAGGTGAATCTGGTGTATTAAAATTATGAATACCAAAAGCAGAATAAGCATGTACTGAGCTCTGTGAATGTGCAAAGAAGTGTTTGTAGCTCTTCCAGGTACGCAAACAGTAGTAGCACCTTGTAGACAAAGGCCATATTTTCTAAAAAATTGATGTGACATTTATGGTCATATCGACCAACTTTGAACTTTTCCTTAGGGAAATAATGAATGTGTACAGATGTGAGACAAGATTAAGAGTGGGTATTGAAATCTGCTGTTGAAAAATCATAACTTAAAATTGATTATTTGAAGCCCTTTAAATCAATGTTTTCCATAGTGCAAGGGGGCATGCTACAGTTCGTTGTGGTCCCAGTCTACGAGATGCTAATGTAATTACAGGCTCAACTTTTGCCGTAGCTCTAGTGTTCCTTAGCATATTTGTTGTATTAAAAGTCCTCTTGTAAGGCAGGGGATTTTAACAAACACTTGAGTAGATAGCAAAAAAAAAAACCAACAAATAAACCAAAACCCCTGTTAATATGAACCACTTTTGGTCTTCCAGCCATAGTTAGGCCTGTCACTTGCAAGTATGGGGATGTATTTGCTGGCACATACAGAACACAAAAGGCTTGCTTATGCAAAAAGCAAATGGAATGGAAAATTGCAGTCATGAGGAGGGATGGGAAAGTAGTCTTGGAATATGTGGGTTTTGGGAAGGCAGTCGATGGGTGTTGGCTTGGCTGCAGCAAGGTGAATGTGGTGATGAATAGGCCACACAGCAAGGATGTGCTGTGAAACCGAAACTGGGCTGCTGCTGTGGGCAAGGAGGGTGCGGGCTTCCCGGCAACGGGCCAGAGCGGCTCCGGCTCGATGGGGAGACTGGTGATGGTGAGACAAACTTCCCTATCATTCAGTGGAGAGCTCTGGCTTCTTAGGAGATTTCAAAAGCGAACTTGTTTCAGCTTGGTGCATGCATCAGCAGGTTTCTAGCCAAAACGTGTTATGTGAGATTATCCTGCATGGAGGATTTAGCCCATGTGATGAGTGGGAAATTTTATGCTTGAAATTTCTCTCCGATGAGGAATGATGGTAGAGTCCTAAGCATGTATATGACTTGATACTGGTTCAAAAAAAAAGTTAAGCTTTCATGCACTTGTTTTTTACTGAAAAGTCAAAATATTTCAGCCAAAAAGCAGACATGACTTGAAAAAAATACTTTGGAAAAAAAAAATCAGTTAAACAGTTGCAACAAAAAAATACTGTTCACCTATACCAGGAAAAAGGACACTGGAGCAGAACTGGATGACAGGGAGAGAAAAAGGCATGGGAGTGGCAGAAGGGAAGAAAGCAGAACGAAAAGAGAACGGACTCAAGGGCAGAAACTGAAAGTGACTATGAACACCAGGTGAGGAGATATTTAAAAAGCTAAGCTAAATGAGTGTAATTACCGGCACAGATATGCTGAGTAGGGGACACAGGCAGCCAGCAATGGCAAAGGTTATAGGCAGATTATGTGAAATAAAGATTAAGAATCAAAGAAAATAAGACTGAGGATAGTTTCTCTTATAGATGATGATGTGTCTTCAGCAAAATGGATGAGAGTATCTAGGCTGCAGATGTGTACAACACTGGAGAAGAAAAAAAAAAAAAACAAAACAGAAACTGACTGTTCTGCCGCCCTCTGGAGTAGCAATCACTGTTCCTCTCTGGTCTGAGGGCCAAAACTACTTTGCAGTTAACATCTGCAAAGCCTTTGACATGGTCCCCCACAACATGTTTCTCTCTAAATTGGAGAGCTATGGATTTGATGGGTGGACTGTTCGGTGGATAAGGAATTGGTGCGATGGTCACATCCAGATCAATGGCTTGATGTCCAGATGGAGACCGGTGATGAGTGGTGTCCCTCAGGGGTCCGTACTGGGACCGGTGCTGTTTAACGTTTTCATCAATGACTTAGACAGCAAGATCGAGTGCACCTCAGCAAGTTTGCGGATGACACCAAGCTGAGTGGTGCGGTTGACACCACGGGAAGGACGGGATGTCATCCAGAGAGACCTGGACAGGCTGGAGAGGCTGGTGGATGAAAAGCTGGACATGAGCCGGCAATGTGCGCTGGCAGCCCAGAAGGCCAACCCTACCCTGGGCTGCATCAGGAGAAGCACGGCCAGTAGGGCAAGGGAGGTGATTCTGCCCCTCTGCTCTGCTGAGACCTCACCTGGAGCCCTGTGTCCAGCTCTGGAGCCCTCAGCACAGAAGGACATGGAACTGTAGGAGCGGGTCCAGAGGAGGGCTACAAAAACGATCCAAGACTGGAGCATCTCTCTTATGAGGACAGGCTGAGAGAGTTGGGTTTTTTCAGCCTGGAGAAAAGAAGGCTGATGGGGAGACCTGATTGCGGCCTTTCAGTACCTAAAGGGGGCCTATAGGAAAGATGTGGCCAGTTGTGACAGGACAGGGGGTGTAATGGTTTTAAACTGAAGCAAGGTAGGTTTAGACTGGATATAAGGAAGAAATTCTTTACAATGAGGGTGGTGAAACACTGGAACGGGTTGCCCAGAGAGGTGGTGGAGGCCCCATCCCTGGAAACATTCAAGGCCAGGTTGGACGGGGCTCTGAGCAACCTGATCTGGTTAGCGGTGTCCCTGCTCACTGCAGGGGGGTTGGACTAGATGACCTCTAGGGGTCCCTTCCAACCCAGAACATCCTATGATTCTATGATCTTCCTATTTGCTCAACCAAAGCTGTGGATATAGTGGTGGCCTCCCTTGGTAGCAAGCAGGCTTTGGAGGCTTGCGGGCAATACTTCAGACTCATCTGGCAAAGTCCTTTGTGCTCATTTTGGCACAGTAGCTTTTAAGCAAGTGGTTAGTTTGGCTTCTCCAAACTCAGAAATACAAGAGCAGGCTGAAAGACAGAAGCGTAAACCATTTAAAACTGTTCTCCTGGGCAGAGAGTAGAGCTTCCCACCACCTGCTCCTTTTCCCCTCTGTGGGGTATTTGGGCATGCAGTGACAAGTACACAGGTTTGCCTCATTTCCCATCACCGTAGCTGGGAGGCTTGGGTGGTTGTTACAGAGAAGACGGAGTAGCAGACTGCCTCTCCCAAGCAGAAAACAAACAGGGTATCCAAGTAGCACAGGCTTTCTTGATTGGGGTGGATGGTAAAGTTGCAATGCAGTTATCTGCATTTTTTTATACATAGAAAAATAAGTCTTTGTAAACACTCCTGTTGCCAATGATCTGCAGTAAATATTTCTGATGAAAAATGGTTCTTTTTTTTGAGTTAGGTGTTGGCAGCAGCTGTAGTGCATATAATGTTCTAGCAGTTTTCCAGTTAAATGAACATAGCTGGAAATAACAGTAGCCATCATGTGATGAGGTTCTCTTATGCAACTCATTTCCCATCTTACCTGCTTACCTTCCTCTTCTGTATTTAATTTTTATTTCCTATTGTGCGCATAGGAAGAGAAGGTGATGGTTCTATTCAATGCTAAAAATACATGAAAAATTCTTTGGGTGTAACGTCTTAGTAGGTTTGGGTTAATATGTGCCTTTTATGAGATTTTTTTTTTTTTCATTTCTAGTTCACCTTGATGTTTAAGGAAGAAAGCCGGTTTGGGGAGGCTGCTGCCGTTTTAAGAAGTGGAGCTGAGATGCACTCAGTGATGTGATTTTTCCTTTTTTTATTCTTCTGTTATCAACAAAGATATCCTAATGTCAACAGAGTTATTCTTGGGGCGGACAGGGGAATGTGGTAGTTCTTTGTCAAGAGAAGCATGAGAAGACCTTGAGTATAAGTTTGAGAAATGACCACCTTAAAATCAGTGAAGTTAAAATTGTTTGGGGGAGTAAAAAGTTTCAAAACAGAGTAAGTAATGAGATTTTTTTTTTTTGCATGAGAGCTTTAACCGTTTATCATTAGAGAGTCTATGCCTTTTGATTACAAAACAGCTGGGTTTTTTGTGGGTTACCATTAAAATGTTCTGTTCACATGGTTGCTACCAATATATGGTTATGCTAAGTCAATCATGTTATTTCCTTTGTTTCTTTCAGACTCCACACACGCATCCCTTGTTGACCCATCTTTCTCAGACATTTCAGTGGGACCTGAGATTCTTAAAAAAAAAAAAAAAATCCCACCAAAAATATAATGGAGAATCTGGCTTGGTGCCAGCTTGGTAGAAAAAGCCTCACTGACTTTAACAAGGTGAAAATTTAGGATATTGTCATTTCCTAGGTTTTGCAGGCTTAAATACATAGAACAATTAAAGATTTCGACATTTAAGTTATATTTGGTCAAGATTTAGCAGTGCAGTGGATTGAGTTCTGTGGAATTAGGCATATATGGGTTTTGACTTTCTTAATTATCGGAGCAACACCAAGAATATCTATTATCTGCCTCTGTCTGGACTCCTTTGTGTTGATAATTATTGTGTCTATGTGCAATGTCATCCTGCATACATAAGCTTGCCTAGAACTCTCTCAGAAAGCGTAATGGAGATAAAATACTGTTGTCGCTAAGTGAGGTACGTACTTGCTTCAGTGGCTATTCAGCCCAATTGAACGTTGCAGAAAAATGACTCTCCTATCTATCTTTTCACATGCCTTATTGACATTTCAGATCTTCTGCAAACCTTAGCGAGTTGCCTGAGCAGCCCATGAAATTTCCCACCTCTGACGTGCTCCGTTTAGGTTGGGTTTTGTTTGGTTGGTTTTTTTTTTATCTCGAAAAAGATCACGTCTACTTGTTCTCCGCTATCTGTGCAGGTATTTGGTATATGCAGTGAGATTGTCACTGCTCCAAATCTCTCACTGGATATTTTGAAAGAAAAGATGTAACAAAACCAGCAGGACGCTGTCTTGTTTCTGTCCTTTCTAGTCACCAGTGAGGAGGTAACTGCAGGGGCTGCGTGCCGTGCTTAGGCCCTCAGCCCGGCTTGCCTGCCTGTACCTTTGCTGCTTGTGTTTTGTACTAGCTTTACCGACAGTGAATTCCATCTAGCCTGCTTTTCTTCTATTTAATTAATAAAATTTGACTTAATATGTAGACAAATGAAAATAGTTTGTGAAGTCCCATGTCCTATCTAAAAATCTGATTTTCTTTCCTATGCCCCCTCTCATCCTCAGCTTTGCTGTCCGGCAGTACAGGAGCTAAGGGGTAACTACCGCATCTCTACAAGTATCACTTAACCTAGAAAACTGAGAATTTCCATCTTGAGATCTTGGTGTAGGTTAGCACCCTATAGAGGAAAGCCACTCGCCGTGTTGTTAAAATCAAATGAGTGCTTTCCTAAGCAAGACTGGACACAAATGCAGTCAAAGGTTTTCTTGAATTGGAGTGGGATGGGATGGGCCGTGTAACCGACACAAAGGCAAGTCTGAAATTCTTTGGTAACAAATCAGCCTTGGCCTGCTAAAATGGAAAGTTGCTGATGGAATGAAAAAGATGATTCCAGGGAAGCCAGGCTGAAGAGATTCTGCTGTTACCAGCTTAGATTTCATTCTATGCTCACAGCTATACGGGCCACGCTTTCTTCTCCATTTAGAGTTCATCCAAAGCGATGTCGTATTTCTGTCGATACACCAAAGCTGTAGGTTTGATTCTGTTAATAGAATGTGCTGCAGAGATGTTTCCACATCAAAAAGTCCTTCCTGTAATGCTTCTAGTTTACATAACTAGTCCTAGCTTATATATTTTATGTAACTCATTCTTTTTATAAAAATATAGTATAGAACTTCTCTACAAATTAAAGGATTGATTCTGTGCTAACTGGCAAAAATGTTGATTTTAGAAGTAGGAGATGAGGGCCCACATCCATATGTTTCAACTCTTCAAAAGAAGCCTGAAATCAAACCCAACATTGATGCTCTCTTGTCCCATTTGTTTTTCTCTGCATCATTGACCGAGCTGTAAAAGTCCTTTCTGAGAAGTTTAGCAGTGATAGGAACTAAAAATCTTACTACGATCTGAACGATTGAGGCGTGGCAGTGGTGAGGCAGGGCTGTTCATAAAGCACTCTGAAGATAATGCTACCTGTAGCAAGTGTTGTTAGTGATTTGATCCCAGTGCCTTGCTAGTGTCAGTCATTCTGGGGGAAAAAAAAAAAAAAAAAAAAAAGACTTGGGCATTAGCAATCTTCACGATATTGGGGTATTGCTAGGTAGGAATCTAGAAATAAGCTTCTGGGGCTAAAATTGGTAGATAAAGGGGTGACCTGGTTTGGAAGGCTGCTGATCCAATGCAAGAAAGAAGCCAAATCCAAAACCTTCAACACAAAACCTTTGAAATTTGGGGGCAGCAGGGAGAGGGCAGTGCATGGGCACCAGAGTGGATCCTTCTGTCCTGCTGCAATCCCAAATCTGAGCAATTTGCAGGTACTGCTCCAGCTTTTAAGGCTACATAACTCATAGTGTATTCTGGTCTTTGAGGCCAAAATCTCATCAGAATAACCTGTGAGAATGAGATGCTGCCAAACCTAAACTCTTGCCTTATTTAAGAGACTCAGCTCTGCAGTTGATCCCTTCTTGAAGTATTTTTTTATTTTATTTTTTTTTAATGCACGCTCTCTGAACCTTGATACTGTGTTGAATTTGATAGACTTCTTAATCTTGATTGTTAACTGGAATATCTGGAACATACTTAATTGTCCAGATATAACAGATACTGAGAAGTTAATAATAAACTCAGAAATCTGCTGCTTAACCAGCTGTCTTGTTAATTATGTTAACATGTTGGCAATGGCTTTGATTTACACACTCTGGGTTTTGTTTGCCTTTTCAGGTCCAGTTCACTGTCTGCTCAGCTTCGTTTCAGCTGTGTTCTCTGCCTTTCCAAGCGTGCAAAGGAGCACACCAGGTCACCGGAGGGGGCTGCTGTGAACCACAGGACAAACACTCTGCATCAGAGCATCCCTGTAGATTCTAATACTCAAAGCCAGGTGCTTCTTTTTAACTGGTAGGACACTCTAATGCAGCTGTCTGCTGCCTGATTTCGAGCAAACCACTTCTAGTAATAGGAAGGGCTGTTTCTTTTGAAGTGCAATACAAAGGCCAAATCTCCACCCATTCTGAACACAGCATTCCTTTCGATCTCCCTTATAAAAAGGTAAGGTTGCACTGGAGGCAGACCAGAACGCTCCTTCAGCCTCCTTGAAGGCATCTCGTGACTAGTGGGAAGGATGAAGCTCCTGGCACTTTGTGGCTTTTTGTTTGTCTTCCTTTTGTGCCTCAGTGCCATTACTGCAGAAGGTACGGTATATTCTTCTAATACGGCCGTCTCCTTTCTTTTCCTATTCTTTCCTTTTGTGATATAAAATGCTTATTCTCTGTTGATTTTAATTAAAGAAAACAAACAGAGCTTGACAACTGGAAATGAGAGAATTAGTTTAGGGAAGGACTTAGACTGCAGAATGTGGTTGCATATCAATGCTTTGGTTTATACAGTAGTGTTTCCTCTCTGTTACTGCCTGGTCCATGTAGTACAGCATGATTCATTTTTACCTTCATCTGTGTTCTGAAACCCGCTCCTCTGAAAAAAAATTCCTGTTATATTTTTACAGTGGATAACCATCTGCTAATATAAAAATAATATATTTTCTGAATGGTGAGAAATGCATTAATGGCAAAGGCTTCTACCCTTATAGAACAAGGGAATATGAAATAGTCATGTCACCAGAGCTGGAGTAAATGAGAAGTTCTTTAGAAAATAGTGAAACAGGTGAGAGTAGCTCTTCTGACCTTCAATTTGTCTTGACTTTTTTTTTTTTTTTTTTTTTTTTTTTTTTACCACTGATATTCCACGCTTTAATTGCTGTATTACCTTGTGGCACCCAGTTACCATTTTGCAGTATTCCAAAGCATGCAAATTCACAGAGCGGCTTAAATCTTAAAACCGGAGATTTTTCTATCTGTCTATAGCTTCATCTCTGCAGGTGTCATTCTGGGTTTGCAGGGGGACAGTTTAGTAGGATTTTTAAATTGAGAAGTGTAACTTTTAGAGTTAACTTCTCAGCTTTGATGTTTGATAGTGTAAATCTCAGAGACCCACCATGATTGCTCCATGGTGTTTATTTTGCAAAGGAATGAATATGAGAGAAGGCAAAACAAATAAGGTAAATGTCCAAAGGTCAGAAGCAGCAGATTTACCATGCTTCATATTCTCTATAAGCACTGTAAGAACCACTTCCCACTTAAATAGGAGTGTCGAGAAACACATGGAAGCTGCCCAGTTTTCTCCTTCGCTGGAGTCTGTTCTGAGTGGTAGAACTGTTTCCCAGGGCTGTAGTACCTGGAGTCCTTCTGCTCCCTTTGCATTTTCTACTTCTATCTATTTGGGTTTCCTAGGCCCCTTGAGGGGAAACTTAAGGAACGGTGCAAAGGGAGAATTTCTAGACTTGTCTTCAGGAGCATAGCAGAAGCCTGCCCGGGAGGGACAGGAGACAGCGATAGCTGGTAAAACCCAAATGAACACACACAGGATCCTGTAATAATGTTCCCTTTTTGTTAATGTGGATCCTGGGGCATTGGTGCTTCCCTGGGTCAGAAGGTGGGGAGGTGGTGTGCAAAGGATGCTCTTCCTTGTCCATAAACATGCTGATGGGAAGGTAGAAGTGCCTGGGTGTGCAAAGACATACTTTCTATGTAAGACCTGTTACAGCAGAATGAAATGCTGGTGGCAACACCTCAAACCTCTTGGATAGTAGAGCAGCTGCCATCACTAGCTTTGGCTGTAGAACTGTGCCACAGGGATTTCCAGAAACATTGTGCATATATGACATTTTTGTTGATGAGAAATCACCTACCTCTGTCCTTTCTGCTCCACCTCTGCTCCAGAGTCAACCTTTCTTCTCCCTTTAATGCGTCCAGCACATAACATGTCAAGTGCAATCAACAGCTCACTTACTTAGGTCTAGTAGGGAGTGAATAATTAAATGGCTTTGCCCATCCAGAGCAATTTATTCTACACTCCTGTGCATATGGACACAGATACACTCTTTTTGCCTCTTGGTAATCTTTTTATGTTTTCATTAAGTGATATAACTATAAAAAGAATGCAGAGTCTCTTTCTTAGGTTAAAACAGCTGGAATTTGCTGCTTGTGTTGCCTGCCAACATTTCAAAGGGTAAAAAATCTTCACAATTTATCTGGCACATCTACTAGTGCTCCATGCTAGGGACAACGCTATGCACAGACGTAAAAATCAGTCACGATGATCCTTTGTTTCACAGATCTCTTTGTTCAAATGTTTCAGTGGTAAATTCAGTAATCAGAATGTCTGTGGACTCTAACCCATTTAGTGTATGCCTGCAGCTATTTGCATTATCTGTCTCAAGTAGTAATGTATTATTTTTCACCCTTAGGTCAGAAGCCTAAAAAAATCTGCTGCTCAAAAATACCCAAACTCGACAAAAAAGCGCACAAAGGTAATAAGATTTACAGTTTCGTTACATTAATTAGGTAATCATTATAGGTAAATCAAAGCACTTAGAGTCTTTTCCATCTGCAAACCTTGCAGACTTTTCCATGCAGGTGAGTACTATCTTCATTGTACCACTGAGAAACTGTTCTCTTTCCTCAATCAACTTATTGAGTGTTTGGATTGGGAAGAAGTAAGAGTAGAAGAAAATCCATTTAATGCTCGCAGTGTAAAATAATCAAGAGAAATGTGCTCTAGTCTGATGAAAGCATAAAGTGTTCATATCCATTCCTGCCTCGTAGGTCTCTCTCTTGTTTTGAGGGCAGGAAGAACAGTATCAGAGCATAGTTGCTTCTTGATAAGAACAGAGGCTGCAAAAGTGAAGTTTTATGGGGGCTTTGCCTTGCGGTATTCTGTCACCATCTATCAGTGGCTGCATCCATCTCCATGTTTTGAGACATCAACCAAAATGTGGTTCTGTAAATTCCTACAAATTCTATTTTTGAACCCACAGCCCTACCAGGAGCAAGAATTACCTGAGATGGAATTTGTCCTAAATACGGGGGTCTAAAGACTGTGGAAGTAGAAGTGTACTTGCATTGAAGTACTTGGAAGCCTTTTCTAGCCCAATCCGTTTCCTGCTTAGAACAAGGGGAGGGCCACCCTGTAGTCTTTTGAGACCATTTATTCTAAGGGGAAATACAGAAAAGCCACAGCCTTCAAAGTGAGGGCGAAGCATTTTGTTGCATTTTAAAGTAGCCTCATTCTGGATGGGAGTTTGATGTGTACAGTTGCCCTTTCAGAAAACCAGTATCTTCATTATTTTTTTTTTTCTTTCCTTGTTTTCTGACTGGCTGGTGCCTCACTGTGAACTGGTAGTCAGATGCAAATGCTTCCAGCTACAAGCTCAGTATTCCCTGCCTGGGTACCTTTTGGTTTACTTAAAACACCCTGTGTACCTGCACAAGGCTGCAACCAGCTTCATTTGCTTAGCTCCGGAACAAGACAACGCAAGGAGGGAGTAAGTCAGCTGGGAGTTAACTCTAGCTTCTTGTTCAGATGCGCAATGGAAAAATTAAATCTAATTTTCCAGTTCTACTTAGAGCTACTTTTGATAGCAAAAGGAAGATTTCCTGCAGAAAGGATCAGCATTTTTTAAAGCAGTTCCTGGAATTTCTGCCCTCATATCGGTGCTTTCACTGTATAAATATTTTATCAATCTTGTCCACTGTCACATATCCTTACTTTGGTGATTTGGCACCATTGTTAGTCCGAAAACACTGAGTTTGCTTCTTTCTGGGTGTCCATAGTATCCCTGGTTTCAGTGAGACCCCAGTAGAAAAAGCTAAACCACGAACAAGTCTAGGATAAAAGGATTAGGTGTGCTCTCTAGAACACTAACATTTTAAATCTGAATTTTCTAAGCTCATTAAAATGTCTAGCTGGTAACTTTCATAAAACTCTAAAGGTACAGAATTTGATCTAAAATAGTCTATTTCCTATTTACTTGTTTAACCTCTTCTAATCTTTTCATCGTAAAATTACTAATTTGAAGTTCCCAGCCAATTAATTCCAGCTGATGAAGTAGCTTAAATGCTTTATTTCTTTTTGTATTTATGTAAACTAGATGGAAATCCTTGTGTTTCTCTGTACAGTTTTCCTTTAGCTGGTCTCTTTCCTTCCTTTCCAGTCTCCCAGTCCTGACTCATGGGCTTTGTTTTATGAGCAGAGTCCTGCTGGTATCAGGGCAGCGAACCCATTGCAGGTTTATGCCTGTGGGCCAGGGCTTTATAGCTGTCGGGGGCTCCTCCCTTACTTAATTGGCAGGTGTAGTAGCAACTGAGGAATTCAGCTATAAACGAACCACAGCAACAACAGGGGCTTCCCAGCCCATCCATAAGGATTGAGGAATGCGATGCTGAACACATAGAGGTGGATCTTGTCTCTTCTTGGCCCGAGACAGATCATGTGTCCTACCTGGCTGAGCCCATAACCTTTCCAAAGTACTGAGCTTTCACGTGGTGAGCATCGCTAGTACTTTTCAATCTGAGGTACCTCCTGCTATCTGACAAAGCAGCAGGCGTTTCAGGCTTTTTTCATGCAATGGGCATGAAATCTCTCTCTGAAGAGTCTGTTCCTTTGGAATCAGGCTGCTGTTTCCCGTGGGTAGCATACAGTGACACTGGTCTGGCAGAGCAATGGGAAGTGCTGCGCTGAGAGGGGGAGAGAAGTGCAAAGGAAGCACTCCATTAAAACCTGTATGTTCACCACAAAATGATCCACAGAGGGAATCTGAAATGCCTTCCTCTGCAGACCCAGTAATAGTTGGTGATGGTCGCTTGTCCCCTGTTAGGCTCTTCCCTGGTTCTCGGAGCACTCCAGCCTGCTTGCAGTAACCATCTCCCATCCTCAGCTGCAGCCAAACCACTTTTAGGTCAGGCGTTGCTCTTTATTTGCTGCTTTCCTACGGGGTGCACCTGACTGCTGCACAGGACTGCTCCTCTCTGCTACAAATCTGCTTGTATGAAAATGCTCGATCTGAATCCATTGCGA